TGCTGGCTCCATGGAGCCACATCCCGGCTGCGCTCCAGGGAGCCCGCGCTGCGCCCGCCGTGTTCGCTGCCGCTGGGGGGACGCGCACGCGCACGCGCCCGGCTGCAGAAGGCAGCGAGCGCGCGATGGCAGCGGCCCCGCTCTGCCCTGCTGCATCCCGGCTTTCCCTCCCGACACGCTCCGGGCTGTTCTCGCTCTGGCTTCCTTTTGCTCAGCCCCGGACAGCAGCACAGCCTTGGAAAACGTAAGGGTTGTATTTATTATTTTTTTAACCTGTCTTTAAATTGCTTCTCTAAAACACTTTGTTTTGTTACTTCTTCTCCAAAAGCAGGAGGATTTTGCCTCTTTAAAGCAAAAACAAGGGTCAAATTGCCATGGGTTATCCGGGGCTGCGAAGGGGCGCAGTTTCCCCGGCACGTCCGTAAGGGCCGGGGCGGGCAGCCAAACCGGTCCAGGCCGTTGGGAGCCCCGCGGAGGTGCAGGAGATACCAGCACCGCGATTGCTATCAGGTGTGTGACGGGAGAACAGCGAGAGCCGCCGCAGCGGAGAGCGCTCCGAGGCCCGAAACGCACACGGACAAGCCCAGCTCTGGCGCTCTGGGGTGGGAAGGGAATCACCGCTCTGCGGAACAGCAGCGCTGCCCGGAGAGCCGCGCGCTGCGGGGGCAAGGCAGCCTCAGCTACCAATGGGCAACGTTCCTGAATTTAGGAGGAAACGGGGAAAACACATAGAACATTGAAGCTGCTGCTATCTTCAGTCCCCTCCGCTCAGTGATTTCCTGTCATCAGGCGACAGAGGAAGAAAAGACAGAAGTTCTGACCCAATTTAAGACCAAAAAGGTTTAGCTCGGAACACTTGGTCTTCCCCAGCCAACACTACCCAAAGCCTGAGCACGGGCATTAAGGGATGTATGCAAAAGCCAATAACAAAAGAAGGGAAAAATGCCATTTAAGAGTTTAGATGAGTTTTAGTTGTGGATACCAAAACTAGGTTTTTTACAACTGTGCCAAAATCTTTTGACAGATTCATTGCGACAAGTTACAAAAACAAACTGATTGCACACATAGCAAGAGGCTGGACCTGAACTCTTCTGCTGGGCTATGCCATCTCGTGGGGCACAAGGAGAAGTTCTGGCCCGCTCCCTAGGTCTCAGCCTGCTGTTTCACACCCCCTGCGGAACAGGACAGCTTATCTGTGCGCCAGCCGCTCGTTCAGCACCTCTGCCCAGCCCCCGAGCGCTCCTGCTGCCTTCGGACGAGCCGGCGGACGGCAAGTTCTGCTCTACAGACAACACCTCTGCTGAGCACCCGCCTCTCGTGCCCATCACTGCTACGGCCCAGGGCTGCTCTTAAGCAAAGCCGGGCCCAAACCGCCTGCGGCGGCTCCCGCAGCCCCTTCCGCTGCCGGGTACTGCACATTGCAGAGCGCAGCCCGGCCCGCGCTCCGTGAGCGCCTCAGCTGGCTCCTTCCCTTTCCCTGCTCCGCAACACGTGGATTTCTGCTGCCCTGGGAAACCTCCCCGTGGTCCAGTGCGTATTGAGCCAGCTGTCACCGCAGACGTCCTGCGAGCACGCTTCCCCCCGCGCAGCACCGCGGCGGCCACATGCTAACGGAGCACTCCTTAAAGCAAAGAGAAAAGCAGTGGGAGCGGGGACGGGAGCAGGAGCCCACGGCCGCCCACCTCGCGCGCGGGGCTCAGGAGCCGTCCCTGGCGCGCGCCGCTGCGGCACGCGGAGCGGGGAGGCTTCCGAGCGCGGCCGCAGCCACCGGGACGCGTTGTGTCCCCGCGCTGCCAGGCGCCTCTGCCTGGGGGGAACTACGAATGAAAACCGGTTATCGCATCGCTGCGTTCTAGAGCTCCTGCTAAACCTCCTTCTCATCTTGCGCTTTGACAAAGACGTGTGAAATCGCTGCTGCAGCAAGAGGGGAAGCACACGGGGCAAATCACGCGGTGACGGCAACGCCACCAGTTCCACCAGTCACCGCAAGAGCCCGCAGGAGCGGCGCGAGGCGCTCTGCCCGCCTTGCTAGGAGCCCATAAATCCACGTGGAAAGCTCATCTACAGATAAAAGAGTTTACCTATAAATAACGGTGTTCTATGCCCGTAACCGAGTCACGCGAAATGATCAAAGCCCCAAGTTCACGCTGGCATTCCCCTCGGGAAGGCAGCTCTGCAGCAGCGGTGCCAGC